GCAATGCAAATAACGAAAGTATCATCCACGTAGCGTTTCCATAATTTTGGTTTTAGATGAAAGGTGTCGAGAGCTTTCTTTCTAAAGGCTCCCATATATATATATATATATATATATATATATATATATATATATATATATATATATATATATATATATATATATATATATATATATATATATATATATATATATATATATATATATATATTTATTATTATTTGGCCTCATGGTTAGGAAACCCTAGTAGATTTTCTAAGACATTTGAACGTTACGTTTTAGCATTGAGTTGGAAACTAATAATAACCTTCCATTCTTAGATATTCTTCTCAATAGAAAATGAGACCTAACATTGGGTCATTGCGTTTACAGAAAATAAAAATCATCTGTTATTAACTCTTTTGTTTACAGAGCAATAAAACTATATCAGCCCGAGTCACTGAACCCAGAATTAAAACACTTTACCTCTGCTCTTCTCTTTAATAATTTCCACATTGAAGATATTAAGCGTTCGATCAAAAAATACACTTCACCACAACCTTCCAATAGCAACGAGGCCGAAAGCAATCCTACACTTGTCACTATGGTCCTTCCTTACATCATATCACTGACCACACATCAAAAGTACTAAAGAAATATAACGTCAAAACCTGATTTACCACTTGTCCAAAAATCTCTCAACATCTTCGGTAACTCAAAGATAAAATTCCATTTGAGATGCCAGGAGTTTACAGCATTCCATGCATATGCGGCAAAGAGAGACCGGACAAAAAATATCACCTAGGCTCAAAAAACATGAAAGAGCCTTAAGACTAAGACAAATAAACTCATCAGCAGTTACCTGTCACCAGTATGGGAATCAATCATCCGAGACGGTGTTTATGCCACTCATTAAGCTCCTCTCCCCTCAAACAATATATAAGCAGTCTGAAAAATTAATATATAAGCAGGTACAGAGTAAAATGCGAGGCAGTCATGGGTATTGTGTAGAATACCGGATTATTAAGATTGCCGGTAACATTGATATTAACATTCCGGCTAATTTAAATAGTCAGTCTGGAATCACCAATAATTTTTATATAGTTACATTTATATAGTCAGAAGCACTATCGCAAACTTATTGATCCACTTACCGTATCCCAACCCATTTCCGGAGGCCGTTATTAAGACTCTAATATGGCAAAACGGGAATTACACGGAGTATATCTATTCCCCGTGGTACGCGCGTAACTGTTAAAGTGGGCCTCATGCGTGCAATTTTGTACACTTAAACGAACTTCTAACCAAGATCCGTTCTCTCGTTATTTTGCCTTAATCACCTTATTACCCAGATTGCCTGACATGCCTCGTTTCAGAAAATGTTTCATAAAATATTTCCCGGGGGGTACTCGTTAGTTAATTCAGGAAATGCATTAGAGGATGGAACATTTAATGATTTACGACCGAGCTGTTTTTAAATTTTAATAAGCAACCCCATTCGCACGATAACATTTAGATATGCCGCTGGGAAAATGTCTGGAAACACTGTGTCGGTGGGCATTAACGCTGAATTGGAATTCGACGTAAATTCAAATACAGTAGCGAACAATTTCGACATTTAAATCTGTGCTTCGTAGACCGCATTGTAATTTGAAAATTTCATTTAGTAAGTCCGCAGCCGTCTATTGCGATTGCATTCGTTTGTGGCTTTTGAACCCGCGTAAATTTCGTGTCTTGAATTAGTAAGAATATTCAACTAATTTGATTCGAAATCGGTTCAGAATTGATTCTACCGATCCTTGGTATTAAGGCCGAAATGTCCATGGCGTATAGGTTTTATATAGAAACTAAAACTAATCAGTCCGCTTTTATGCTTCATGAGTTTTATTGGGGTAACAATTTCACGTTTTAAAATTTGGTGGCAACATTGGTAATTATGGGCGGAAAGTGGACAAGAATGGAAAAAAAATCCATAAAATCAACGTATTTTGCATTCTGCGGGTTTGTTCCTCAGTATTATATTATCAATATTATCTTATCTAGTAAATAAGATTTCAGGATTATATTTCGTCTTCTCCTCACTATACCTCACTTTATGAAATATAGTTTTCTTATAACCTTTACATACTATACAAAATGTTAAAAAAAAAATACAAACCGTATCTCCTGGATTGTTGATGAAAATACATTTAACAAAATAAATTAGAACTAAAAGTTCACGAAATTATATATATTCACATGACAATTGTTTCGACAACATCGTGTCTTTAATTAATGATGTTTTGAGAATTTAGGTTTAATAATGGAGAGGTATTTAAATCTAATTGATCGTTAAGCAATACATTTGAATGTCTCATTTTGTTAATCTCTATGGCTTTCAATAAATTTAATTTTCTACTTTTTGTGCCTGTATGTAAAATATCAAAATTGTCGTCAAAAATGTGTTTTTCAGTTTTTACGTGTGTAGCATAATTAGAATCTAGACTATTGTTTTTAAATGCTCGTTTATGTTCGTTAATGCGTTTCTTGAAGGATCTATCTGTTTGTCCAATATAAATTTTAGGACAAGATCCGCATTTCATCCTGTAGACACCTGATTTTGGAGATTTTGACATTTCGTTTTATTGTTTTTTAAAAATTTTCCTGTTGTGTTATTAGTTCTGAAAGCTATTTTTAAACCACATCTTGACAAATGTTTTGAAACATTTTCACTGGCCTTTACTTGATAACGACGAAATTTCGTGAAAATCTGAACTTTTAGTTCTTATTTCAGTTCAATTTTTGAAAGAAGCTGAAATTCGTTTCTTGGCTATTTGCTATTTCAAATTGCTTCTATGTTGCCGAATATGTTGCCAAACCATTTTGTTTTTAACAAATGTCTACAAAATAAGGTTTTGCGCAAGTTTATTAAATTAGAAACCAACAACAGAAGTTCCGCTGCAAGGAAAGCCCAGATTCAAGGCCAGACGAAATGGATGAAGGAAGAACGAAGACACGAGTACAGAAAACGGGGTACAAATCACATTTATGTATAGGTAATACATTCTGTATTGTCTCATAGACCATAAAATTTGACACATTTGATTATAGAGTTCGGGCAGCCATTTCATCTATCATCTAAAAAGTCTCCTAGACGAAAACAAAAATAAAAACCTCAAATGCTAAAATGTCATAAACTTATCGTCCCTTTGCGTTCTATAACTATCCAAAAATAAAAAATAACTACTAAAATTAAAATCCGACCTGGGTTAACCTATCCCCAACCAAAACTAACCAAATTTAATCTATCACAGAAGGTTATATTCGGTGACCTTTTTTTTATTACTGTGTTATTGTCATGGGTAACTCGTATGATGGCAGAAATTGTTTTTAGATTTTGTACAAGGTGGCCGGTTTAAGAGACGAAAACATATTAGTGTTTGAATACAAAAGTTGTTTCTAATAAAATGATCTGTTTTTTTTTTGTATTATTTCAATAGACTTCAAGTGGTCAAATAAAGTTTTTTAAATTGAATATCCTATATTTTATTACACTTTTAAATACCCCCCTAAAAATACGATATAATTATATATCGACATATGGATGTCTAATGTACCATTATTAGCGAATATCTTCGAGAGTCAGGTTATGTCGGAAAGGTTTTCGTTAAGTTGCATATTAACTTGTAAAACATTTTGTGCGTAATATTACTTTTTCTCAGACAATAATCAAAATTGCCATGTCTCGCAAAATGTCACGTCCCTCAATTTTTTTAAATTAAACAATCTGTATATTTTTGCATTTGCAGAGAGTCCTTTAAAAGGCGCATCCCACGATACATTTTATCAATTGTCAGGCAATATCAACGCAATTAATTAAATTTCTTAGCTGTCTTGCTTAATTTTGAAAGCTTTTTTAATACATTTTCTATGAAATTACTGGCTATTTCAAATTCTGCGAAATATTATAAATATTAGAAAATAAATAGATGAATGAATACTATTTCACTTAATCATTTAAATTTAATTTAATTAATTTATATTTAATTATGAATCGATATATACATCAGTAAAGTTACATAATCGAAGAAATATGCATTACGGGAGCTCTGAAAATAAACTTTGTGAATTTGAGATAAAAAAACAAGTTAAAAGATCGGTTAAAGTGAGGTGCAGTATTTGACAGCAGGGCAACAAATTTAATTTGACGACAAGATCGCGCTTTTTGAACGGATATTTTAGACAATGGATTGGGCATCTGTCCAGTAGGGAACCCGGATTTAAACCTACTGGACTTTTTTTGTAAGGCATTTTAAAATAGGCCACAAATTCGGGATGCAATTAACCAATTGAATGCGCCCAATTACATATTCAATGCCATAAATCATTTAGAGATAGTATATATACAATTACATATTCAATGCCATAAATCATTTAGAGATAGTATATATACTTGCATTATTCAAAATTTAATTTAAAATTATTAATGTTATTTTTGAAAAGCGTTGGCAAATGTTATTGTTTTAAAAATAAAATAATTTATAATTTTGACAGTATTTTAAATAAGTGATTTCCGACACATCAATTTCATAAAAAAATATTGAAGAAACTTGCTGAATTAAGGCTAATTGGGTTAATATTGCTTCGGAATTGATAAAATCGTCAAAAATTCAAAACGGTGTATCGTAGACCACTGTTCATATATATCCTTGGATTCGTCTTTTAAAGGGCTATCCGAAAATGTAAAAATATACGGACTGCCAAAAAAATGAGATAGGAAACATTGAGAAAAATTATAATTTTTTAAAATATGTTACGCACAAATATGTTTTTAAAGTTAACATGCAACGTAACAAAAACGTTTCTGACATATAGTTTAAAAATGTAATAAAACAAAATATATATGAGTTTATTTGTATTCAAACTATAACACTTATAAATTTAGCATAAGCCCCTTTTAAATTGGCCACCCTGCACATGATCGTAAATTCGTTATTACATTGCCTATTTAATTAGTCGTCTAGTCATGTATGCAAACTTACCGCGCCAGACCTCCCTGTCAAACCAAGTGAGATTGTCAGCCTGTGTGTCGTAATATCCCAGTACAACATAGTTGCCGTTGATGACCTGCTCTATTTGCGTGAGGGCTATACGATCGCCCTGAGAACTAAAAGCGACGATACCCTGAAACGGTTTTAATTAAATTAAATTTTAGCACGTAATTAAAAACTGACGAGTTATTAATTTTGTTTTCTAATACTTAACGACATCGAAGTTTAATGATAGTTTATTGTCATATTTCTTAGCTAAAGTAACAATATCGTTTTAATTAGCAAAGTAGAATTATGGTATGTATTGTATATCAAACCACCTTAAACGAATCTTTTCAGACATAATAAAAATAAATGTGTCACGCCCCTTCTGGTCTAAAACATTAAAAAACAATTTTATACAATTAAACAAATAAAATAGTTATTTATTTTGGGAAAAAATTTCCTACTTTTGCCTGCCTGGTGAGAAAATAAATTTGCACATGAAAATTTGTATGTTGGACATACAGTTGTAGTTATTGCTAACTACTACCGACGTGCCAAATAAGAGTCCAAAAAATTCTCTGCACTCTATGAATTTTCCAATTTTTATAAAGAGCTCGAAAATTTTCAATTCAGTGATATTGTTACTGTGAAGTCTATGCTAAGGTTGTACTCACTAGCCTACCTTTGTATCTGAGACCTTAATTACACTAATAATGCTAATGTGTTACTATCGCACTGTACTCTACTTTTCACTATCACTATAGTAACTCAAAGGGCTTTATTTTCTTGAGTCTCATAGTTAGATTAGTGTTATGGAGGAGATGGACTGTCTCGATATTTGACATGTCGAAGAAGTGATTAACTGTCTCAACTTTCAGGTCCCGATATAAATTACAATTGCGAAAGTGCCAAGGTGCATTGCGGATATTTCTCAGTGCCTTATTCTGGAATCTTTTAATGGTTAAGCCGTAAGTCCAAATAGGTTTTAAAACTTGCGTATACAGGAGCATCTTATTGGAATTTGTGCCGTGAGCAATATATTTTTTTGTATTTTTATCCTAGCTCTTATTTTTTTAATATGGACTTTCCAGCGAAGTCTTGAGTCTACGTTTCAGTATGCTACCTTGTGGCATTCCTGCATTGATTTTTTTTATGTCAGAGTAAGCCACCTCTTGCTTGATTCTAAAATAAGTTTCTGAAATACATGAAGTTTAAAGAAGATTCCTGAGGGAGAGTCTGTGATATTTCTAAAAAGGTAGGTAGCAAACTTTATTTTGTTCTAGGGATTTTTCATTAATATCCGTAATATCGAGTACCTGATCTATGGTGCAGTGGTTGACCCGAAGGTGTGTGAAGATGTCACATTATGTGCCTCTAATATATGCTTTAGCCTTTTGCCTGTTAACTTTTCATATAATTTCGATATTATAGGCAGCAGTGATATAGGTCTATACGTCTTGAGGTGGTTACCCTGGGTTGAGAAGCATCATCATTTCCGCTACTTTTCACATCTTAGGAACATACCTCATGAGGCATGATACGATTGATTGATTGATGCTTGATAAAATTGATCAGCTGCTTTATTTGGCATTTGTTTTAGGATTTGGTCAAATCCTGGCGTCTTTTTTCGATCAGTATGATTTTTAATTTCGCTTAACTCTTCTTTGGGGGAGGTATGCCTAAAGGTCACATTCTCTTTTCTTGGTTCAGTCGTTTCTAGTAGTTTTTCTCCTTCATTTAAAGGTAGGTTTTCCGCAAATCTGGTCGCTTTATATTTGTTGGTTCGAGTCTAGCTTCCATCTGAGTTTCTTATCGGTGGGGTTTGAATGATAGGTCTTTTGAGTGCTTTTGTTGCTTCTCACAAGGTTTAGTCCTTTTATTGTGATTGTTTAGCTCACTGATGTAATCACCTATCATTTTTAATACGTTAACTTTTCTTTTTTTAGTTGCTGAGTGCCATTGTTCAGTGCAGTCTTATCTACTGGGGTACTGGTTTGCTGCCATTTTCGCTTTATTTTTTTCTGATGGCCAGTAGTTGCTACAAAACCGTATCTTTGAGTTATTTTCCAATACTGTCAATTTGTTGGCGAGTCTAGGGGCGTCACTTTTTTAGTTATAGTATCACTTGTAGTAAGGAGCATAGGTGAATGATCCGAGTCCATAACTCACAATAAAAATGTCTATAAGATCAGGAATTTTATTTCGGTCCGTAACCAATATGTTGGCTTTCCAGTCGATAGTATCTCACCCTTTCATAATGCTTGAGTGAAGCTAGTTGCACTACCGCTATTGGCATCATTGCTTTGTATCCTTTAAACTTTATTAATATATATATATATATATATATATATATATATATATATATATATATATATATATATATATATATATATATATATATATATATATATATATATATATATTAAAACTCCGCACGCCAATAAGTCCAAAACGAAAAGAAATATTTAATTTATGTAAAAAGTAGTGAAAGTGTGGGGTCAAGTAGATATTTTCTAAAGTTTAAAAAATTCGACAAAAGTACATATTATTTAAAAACTTTTTTGTTGTTTACTCAAACTTATTTACTTTACCCGTTTCTAAGTTATACCGATTTAAAGTAAACATTTCTTGATTAATAAAAAATGTGATTAACGCTTATTTTTACAAGTATGCCATGAATGTTAGTTACTATGGCAACCATTGTTATCGCAGTTGTTTTAAGTGTAATTACAAACGTAAGTTGTTATTGCTGTATCAAAAAATTGTCACATTTTGTCACAAGAAATATCCAAATTTGTTCGGTTTAAAAAAAACTAAGAATTATTATGTGAAAATGGTGCAATTTAGCAATGAGGAAAAGTAGACATGTTACTGGTGTTTGGAGAATGCAGATGCAATTGTAGAGAAGCAAAAAGAGTTTACGCACGGCGTTATCCGCATAGAAGAGTCCCCGATGCAAAAACCTTTTCAAGTTTATGTAAAAACTTAAGAGAATATGGCAGCTTCATAAAACCTAAAAGAGATAGGAACAGGACGGCTACAAATGATGAAAATACTGCTGCTGTAATTCAGCAGATTGATAATAACCCCAAGATATCCCTATCAGAGATAAAAGAAAATACCGGTGTTACCATAAGTTCTTCGTGGAGAATTCTACATAGAAACTCTTTTCACCCGTACAAAAGTAAACTAGTTCATAAACTAGAACCAGGCGATTATGCTAGAAGAATGTATTTCTTAGCGACATTGTCCGATTTGTATAGCCAAGATGCAAATTTTCTCTCGAAAATTTTATGGAGCGACGAAAGTCGATTTCAAAATAATGGAATCGTTAATACACACAACTGCAATCGAATAATTTTTCGACGCGTCGCGACGCCCAGCTCTTTGCAGGCGTCGAATTTTTTAAACTTTAGGAAATATCTACTTGACCCCACACTTTGACTACTTTTTACATAAATTAAATATTTCTTTTCGTTTTGGAGTTATTGGCGTGCGGAGTTTCAAGTGAAAAACCCTGTATATATAAAGTTTTTAATTCATTTTAATTCATAAAACAAGGAACAAAGAATAATAACTTCATTGTGGTTTTGATTTCCTCGTTCACGCAACATTTTATATAGAATTTTGTTAATCTATTTTTGGAAAATTAAAAAAAAACATCTTAATATGTTTTAGAATATAATACGAAATTCGATTGTGTTGATATTGCTGAATTATGCAACATTTATTACGAGGTATCCACATAAATCCTTTCAACATTGTAATGGTCAAATAACGTGTATTTATAACCGCCATATAGCTATTAGACAATTTTGTGGTCCAAAGGGAGTGAAGAAAATAAGGGACATTTTCAACACTTAACTTGCGAGCGAGATCAAAGACTCTGTTTCTCGTGAAGACGGCTCGAATGTTCCACCCCTATCTGGAGCACACACTTATGAAAGTTGAAAAGAGACGAAACGCGTAGATATAAAAATTACTAATAGTGTGTAATAGTGCGTAATGGGAGTCTGTAAATAGTTAGTGACTTTGTTATTTTGGATGAAATAAATTGTGGTTCATAAGTTGTTCGAGGACCACGTGAATAAGATGCAATAGGAGCTTATGACTGAAGTTGGGCCCTAAGTAATTCATCATTTCTAGAAATATATGAAGTACATCTCACGTCGTCTCTAGTAAGTGGAAGGGAAGAATGGAAACAAGCACGGAGTTTGAACTCTCTTTGACAAACTTCAAAATTCAAGCCGAAAACATCCGACTGATCGGAAATGTCCGAAGTGGCTCGGATCTGTGGGAAACGAAAATGACGTCGTAAAATGACACTTTCTACAGGCTCGATCGGTGTACAATTGAGCATTTTAGAGAAGGAAATAGAAAAATATTTTAATATAATTATTAAAATATTGTACATATTTACATTTACATATTGTACATAAATGAATAGAGCATATCTAAATCGTGCAGTGAAAATTAATATATCAAACTTTAAAATAGAAGCTCCTAATAATTTAAATTTTTTATAAGCAAATAATTACAAGAAAACACAATGGCAGTAATATTAATTCATAATTAAATATAATGCCGATCTTAATAAACATTAACAAGAGTCAGAGCTACAGATTTATAAATAATGATCTTACTATATCAAGCCAAACTAAGAAGATAATTTTTTTACTTTTACACCATCATTTTTTTGACTAATGGTTTATTATACCTATCAAAATATATGAAATAACCGTCACCATTTTTTTTTCAGATTTATCTGTCCATCAACAAACTTGAGAGATGCGCGCACCATTTAAATTTAGGAGTTTTTTAATAAGTTAAAACTGCATGTAAACTATCACTATATTATTTTCACCTATTTCTAGTTTTATTTAACAACCTATGTAAGCAAATCTCACATTGAAAGACTCCACCAGACTTGCATAAACTATTAATAAGACATCATTATTGACAATATTCCGGTTAATTTAGATTCCCATGCATTTGCCTGGTTAGCAGTAGAATGTCTTTATTAAAAATCAAAAAAATATGGCCCAGAATAGTTCCCTGTGGATCACCTCATTTGGCTACTTTTGCAGAACTGTTTATGGATGTTATAAATCTGTTATATTCCGAGCCTTGTTAGCTGTGCAAATAATAGTTGGGCATAGCGGCTTTAATACTTTCTGCTGTGATATTAACAAGTAGTTGAAGAGACATTTTGGCGTTATTCGTAACTAGACCAATCATTAACTTTCAATTTCCGTGAAAATAAATCCATAGTTTTAATAAATATTTGTCCTAACCTTAATAAAGAATAAATAATTGCACACTTTGGAACCTGCTACTGGAATATATTTGCGGAAACCATACATCAACTGTCGTAAAAAATCTCAGAAATGTGTAAAGAATCATAATACTTTTTCAATTTTTTTCTTCTGCGAGAAAAATAGGGTCGAGCAATAAAAATAGAAGATTCTTTTGTTGTTTGTTTGACTGTTATTGTAATACAACATGGATAATCAAGTTAAAATTTTCCATCAGTAGATAATCTTCTGGTAATTTTTAGGTAAGTGAGCTTCATTTTTAAACTCCTGAAATTAAAAGATTTGCAACCTGCACTGTTGAATCAACCTAGTTTAATCAAAGGTAATTCTTATTTATGACATTTTTCATCTAGAGTAGCAGGTAGAACCCTTTAAGCGTATATAAATAGTAGTCAATTGTGGTCATTTAATCACTATTACTGACTAAGATACCATCTCTGTATTAATGTTTAGACTATTTTTACATATTTGAAGTATATTTTAGTAAACGACGTAAGATAGAACAATGAATCCTAGATTTTTATCCTCTTTCCCGTTTATTTGCCACTATAAATGTCGCCTGTACTTTGCAACCAGATATGTGGCTCCCTTATGCGCAAACTGGGCACTTATTATAGGCGATTTGTATCAAGGTTTGGTGACATCGCCAATCCACTTACGAAGCATACCGCGCGAGACCGATCATTCCTTAAAAACTCTATAACCAACGCCCCAAAGCTAGGCTATCCTAGGTCAAAAGTGAAGTTCGTATCGGATATAGATGCTTGTAAAATCGGGTTAGGAGAAGTTTCTTCTCAGGTGCAAAGAAAAAATCATCGATTACTTCAACCAAACAATGTCCAAGCTAGGATTGTGTTACAAGGCGGGAGTTGCTAGCCATTGTTAAAGATTTTTTCTAATACCCCACACCTGACACCAATCCGTATGCTTTTAAATCGAGGAAAATTGTTCGGGTTCAAACAGGTTACTCCGCGTAAAACTTATCGGAGCTTAAATTTAGTTGGTCCATAATAACAAAGTCACTAACAATGTCAATAATGTAAATGTTGCCCCCTCTAACTTTTTTATTTTGCATTTTAGAAAAAAGTATACTGTAAAAGTCGTAGGGTTTCATACTTACATACATAAGGGGTTTAAACAAAGCATGTTATCTTAAAGTTGTGTTTTTTAAATTGGAAGCTGCGTATGTTAGTTCAAAAAAAGATCGCGATTTAGTTGGCCATGCCTGCCATGTCTTGTTTAATTACGGCAATTAATTCTATTATAAAATAATGATTTACGGAAAATTCGAAATATTGTCCAAATAACCAAATTAACGAACTCTTCTTTCATTTCAATACAGGATATAGAAAATCTTTTTTGGAAAATATCAGAACTAGCGCATGGCGCACTTTATCATAATTTTGCTCCGACAGAATTTAAATAATCCATATCCAGGGCCGGACTCGGCTCATTCGGCTAGCTCGTTAAAATACTGATGAAAAAATGATACATCTAAAGTAAGACTGAATTGACAAACTGTCAGCGGCCATGTTGGTTATTAAACACGTCTGGGTCTTATTGGTTGGTTTCTAATAACCGCGTGTGCGCATATTGGACGGCTTGCTCAGATTTTTTGACGCTATTTTCGAAGGCCCAAAAAGTGGCAACAAGAAAATGACATTTTAAAGAAATAAAAATGAAATGTGCAATAACACGTTATTAACCGTTATATTTTGCCACTTTTTCTTTATTTAACCCTCCTCGTATCTCTTATGGATTCGTTATCTTGGATACACTGTAAAATCTACTAGCTATATGGAGAGTAATCAAGGATTTATTTGAGTTCAATTCGGTTTAATTGCAACAGTGCCAAAATTAAATCACCCACATTTATAATAGTAGTATAATAATAATACTGAGAACATGGCGTACCGAGCAGGTCCGAATCAATATTTCCAGCGAAATTGTAGTCCAGCGAAATTGTAGTGCACTCGGGTGTGCCTCAGGGTTCACACATAGGTCCAGTTTTCTTTAATTTGTTTATAAGAGGTCTGAGTGATGTGGTTCTTTATTGTGCCTTTGCAGATGATTTTAAATTTTACAAAACAATTGTATCATTTATGGACGCTCAGCTTCTTCAGAGCGACTTTAATATTGTCAGTTCGTGGTGCAGAGAAAATAGTCTAATAGTCTCTCTTAACCAACACTCTTCAAAATAGATATATTATTAACAATAAAACGACAGAGTGTGTCACCAAAGTTAAGGACCTTTTGGATCAGCTGGAGGATATTGTTAACAAGGGCATGAGAGGTCTGGGGTTTTATTACCCGTAATAGTACACTGCTCTCATCCGACTGTTTTAGAACCCTTTATTGCTCCTTAGTTAGATCTACACTGGCGTATGCATCAGTAGTGTGGCCTCCACATTACAGTTGCCACTTTGAAAGATTGGAGACTGTTCTGAGGTCCCTAGCATATAGAGCGGGTATAAATATCTACAATAACTTTCTCATTAATTATGTTCTGGTATATGAGCCTTTTGGGATAGATAGTCTGGAATTAGAAGAACCTACTCCGATATCTTGACGTTTTATAAAATTTTGAACGGTGTATATAACTGTCCGGCTCTCCTCCAGTCCATTGATTTTAACATCTATCAAAGACGCCAGAGCTCCCCAATTTTTTGTATTCCATTTCATCACGCCAACTATGGCTATTTTTCTCCTTTAACCGTGAGGTTATTTAACAGTTGCTCTCTTGATCCCTTTGGTGGCGGTCTTCGACTGTTTAAGACAAAATTAAAACAGGTGGTTGATTGTAGTTGTAACTATTGTGATACTGTTTGTTTACTGTTTCCTACTGTTTTTTGTTTTTATATGGTTATTTAAAAAGCTTGTTATCTAAGTTGTTGTTTTGTGATGTTGCTATTTATATTATATTTATATTGTTACTTTTTATTTGTAAATTGGCTTAGCCGTCGAAATAAATAAATTATTTATTAAGTATTTAAACATCGAAATCACTTGGTTTTATTAGATCTCATAGCACAAGTATACGCAGTCTACTTTATTTTATTCAAATAATAGCAAATTATTACAAATTATTTTGAAGCAGCAGTCGAAACGAGTATTTTCGTTTATTTGTTGAACGGAAGTAACCAGTTTAACTCGCTTAACAACTTTCAACACCGTCATCGAGTCCGGCATTCATTATTCTTATCTCCAGAGCACTCCAAAGTAACTTAATTCGAATCATCAAGTGACACCAAGGGGAAACGAACGTCCGATACTCGGTCACGCGATTCGAATGTTTTCCTAATCTAACGCGACCGAGCGATTAAGAGAATGTTCATTTCACTTACCGATACACCTAAAAACTGAGTAGAGTTAATAGCAGAATATATATCGTCGGCTATTTCTTTATTATTGTAGTTGAAGTCTTTTAAACTTTTTCCGTACTTATGAAGGCGGTCCATTGTTTTATTAAAAGCTGAAAGAGTTTTATAAATGAATATGTCATCTCGCGAGCGTAAGATTTATGTCGTACCCAATGCTACGGACCAGACGGCATCGTACGCCAACGGCGCTTCCTGGTATCCTTCGGGATACCTCTGGTTATCGATATCGTATCCTTCTCTTCGTAGGACGTCATTCAATCTGTGTCGGAAATCCTCGGAAGTCATTCCGGAAATGGTGCGCTCGTTTAAATTCTGATTCCACATCAGAGCTTCTGTAGTTAGGTGCCCTAAAAAAATTCGCATATTTGATAATACAGCCCCGTTTTTATAAACAGAAAGATTTTCAAACAATTTGGTTGTTTTGTAACAATATAAAAACTGTTAGTTCCTGGTTAACAAATTCTGGGCTGAAACATTTGGCGCATCTACTTAAAAATATATATTTGAAGTGGAAATGTCGCGAAACAGCGGCAATCCGAACAACACGAAAATGCCATTTCCATTACCATAACTCATCGTAAAAATATAAGTGAATATTTAAATAACGCTGTCGCGAATGGAGCGCACTTGCGGGCGGCATCCGATAGTTTTAAATAATTAAAAATGGTTGCATAAAATTAAGAATTTAAATGACGCATTGCGATAAAAGACTAAAATAATCAACCAAAACAGTATCAGTTGCAAGTTTTAGGGACACAGTTAAACATGCCAACAACAGCATCCCAACTTATTCGTTTGAGTACAATTTTACATAAAAAAGGCGTATAATCTACAAGAAAAGTATTTAGAATTTGCAAATTTTAGTGGCGATAGGTGTAGGATAGATCATGAGGCAAGTACTTTTAAGATGTTTTAAAGACATAAAAATTAAATGTTTTATTATGTTTAAGGCAGTAAATATATACAAATTATCTAGAATTTCTCTAAGAAACTTGTACAGGTTTCTGCAATATCTTGCATCCGTTTCTTCTTTAGTAGAAGCTACGAATAAATCTATAAATTCTCACGAGTCTAAACTTCCTGGTTTCTATGGACTCCCAAAGATTCGATCTATTGTTAGCACCATTGGTTCTTCATGCCATCCTCTCTCAAAATATCCTGGCTTCTATATTAGGACCATTTACAAGGAAATCTGTTTTGCACTTAATTCCTTTCACTTCATTTAACAATTAAAAATCATTGCATTAGATCCAAAGGATGTTCTGGTTAACGCTCGATATTTTCCGTTTAAAACCAGAACTATGGAGACGCTATGACAGATGTTACTTTTGTTCTTCCGAGAGTTTCTTAACTATTTAAACTATATAACAGTAGGTCATTCCGTTTACAGAAAACCTACAATACCTTCTACTCCCAAAGGTAATGAGTCCGAAAGCAACCCATACTGCCCATTGTGGTCCTTCCTTACATTGAGAAAATTTCTGACCGCATATCAAGAGTTTTTAAGAAATATAATGTTAAAAGTAGTTTTACCACTTGTGCAGACACCAGCAGTTTACAACAGGTCGAAAAGTATGATCCAGGCTAAAAGAAAATGAAGTAGCCGTAAGACCACGACAAATAAACTCATAAGCAGTTGTTCAAAAAACTAAAGTTCTTGGCTAAGTAATTATATAATACAAATTTGTTGTCATTTTATTTTGCCATATATTACACATGTTGTTAACATTTACATTACAAAATCATTATACCCCGAGACTTGGGAGAAAGCCCTTGTGACTCCACTGCCAAAGGTTAAAAACCCGCTTGAGCTATAAGGTTTGAGGCCAATTAGTGTACTACCATGTATGTCAAAAATTGCTGATAAAATAATTAATCAACAGTTTTCTGTTTATGTGGAACATTCTAAAATCTTGCCCGATGACGGAAAAATTACCCTTCTGGCACTACTAGACTGTACCAAAGCATTCGATACATTAAACCATCAAATTCTGTTCGCAATTTTTCATTATGTTGGTCTTTGCGAGCATGCGGTATTACTTTTTAAATCCTTTTTGGCTGATCGTACGCAGTGAAAATAAAATTTCCACGGAGGTGACTGTTGTCAGTGGCGTTCAGCAGGGATCAATACTGATTCCGTTGTTGTACGCAATATATGCGTCAAATCTGGCTACGGCCGAGCACAATACTATGCAGACGATACACAAGTATACTTTTCCTGTTATAGGTCAAGCGTTCGTCTGGGCTGTGAAGTCATGTGTCGAGATCTAAATAAATTACAATATTTTTCACTGAAACACTCACTATTCTTAAAACCTAAGAAATGTTATATTATTGAACTGAGGTGGCTTTTACTTGATGAAAATCCATTTATCAAAATAAATAAGAACTAAAAGTTCAGATTCTCACGAAATTATATATTATGACATGACAATTGTTTCGACAACACCGTGTCTTTATCAAATGTTTTGTGACTAATATACGGTATTAGACACCTAGAGAGAATATCACATAAACTAGTAGAGACAAAATGGTGGAACATGGAGAGAAGAAGAAAACTACATGAAGCTTGTTTTATCACAAAGTTCTATACTTCAAAAGTCCTCAATATCTGTACAGAAGGATTGTGTTCAGATCTTATGTTTATAATTTACATATTAGATTTAGAGGTGCTATAACTTCTCCTCAACACTATTTGAGCATGGTTTTTCCTTTAATATAGCTAAATTGTATGATAGTCTTACTAATAACTTCAAAGCCCTGACTCCATGTAGATTTATTCTCAATCCGTTGGGTTAAATAAAACTTTTTGTAAAAGAAAACTATTATTTGTAGAAAGTATGGATATACAGAAATAAAGATATATTATTATTATTATTATTATTATTATTATTATTATCATTATTATTAAGAAGTATGATACGAATTTTACTGAATCATGGGTGATATAAAAATTGAAGTTAAGATTTCATGATTGCTTTGCTAAAATGAAGTAAAACTAAGACAGTAATTCTATTATCATCATAGGCCTTGAAAATAGCCTTTATTATATTTGCAGGACCATCTTTCACTACTGACACCAAATCTAAAACCCGATTGTTTTGGGGGTAAAACACTGTAGAGAATCTGAACAGGAGAATAATAGAACGCAAATGACCAAACTTTGTACGTGTTTCTATTTTAGTCAGGGGTACGACTTTTGTTTTCTTATTCCACAAAATTAATTGAAGACAAGAATTTTTTAACTTTTCAACTCGTCTAGCATCAAAGCTTGTCATACATATTGTCACAATAACGAACCCGTGAAAGTACCAACGTCTCACACAACATTGATTTGAATTTTCTGTTCAGAAAGCTTCCGTCCTCATAGCCTATCTGTGTGCATGTCGGAACATCTTGTGTGAATCTCAACTCTTGGTCTGTAAGCACGAGATTTTTTAAATTTTTATATAGGAGTATTATTTATTATAACGGTTCCTCAGAAAATTGCGCTTTTTGATTTTTCCCACCAAACACCATCACACCACAACTTTTTCTTTCGAAGTACTGCCTTGTTCAGGTTTTTTACCCTAATGATTGGAAAAAGGAGTTGAAAACAAAACAAAAAGTTCAAGTTCAATACCTAGACACTAGACACAATAAATGAAAAAGTTTTCTGGAGTTGCAAATAAAAATAGTAAAAAATACACAATCGTATACAATACAATAGCACACAATCGATTTCGAGAAGGTATTTTTTATAAAATCGTTTAAAAGAGTCTAAGCTTAACTATTTTATTTCTTGCGGAACTCCTTTTTAAAGCTTGTAGACATTATAAGAGAAAGATCTTTGAAAGAAGGTTAGTCGATGTGGTGGATGCTATTTATAGCCACGGCATTTCAAGTTCAGCGTATGTACGTCAGTACGAAAGCTATTTTTTTATAAAGGTATTGGGGACACTTATTCAATATAATTTTGCCAAACAGAGTAACTGAATGTAATATTTATTTTCACTTTCCATTGTTGGCCCCTTTGTTTTTTAAGTTTCTATGAAACTGAATCCTGTCACGTATAACACAAAGGAAACCCAAACAAACTTTTGGATCATTTGTATTCTGTTAATGTAGGCAAATCTATTTTTCAAATTAATTGGATGACCTGAGCGGTTTCACGGGAACAAATATTATCATGGGAGATTTTAATTTTGATTTGCTAAAAAATACGTTTTAAGGTGAAAAGTTATTGAGTATTGTACGCAGAAATGGATACTACCAAACTGTTAAGTCACCCACTCGAATTACAGACAAAAGTGAAACATAAAAAACATCTAACACCAAGAATTAGCGATCATAACATACTGTCAATAGAAATAGAAGATACAAGCAACGACGTCTTATTGAAAGTGAATTACAGATCCATAAAAAATTACAATAGTGACTTACTGCAGCAATCGCTGCTTCAAACATCCTGGAACAATAGTATTATAAATATGTTGACTGGTACCTTTGGAGATAGTATATCTAATATAATAAGCCGAATGTGTCCGAAATTAAAATTGTATGTTCAACATAAGTTTGAAAACAGATGGTGGATAACCCCTGTGATAAAAGAAATGATGTATCAAAGAGACTGTTTGTATAAAAGTGTTTTGCTTGAACAAAATGATGATACATGGCGTGCCCATAAAAAAGAGAGAAATCGCATTATAATCTGCATTAAATTAGAAAAAGACAGATATTTTAAAGATATTATTGGTAGAAATAAAACAAACTCTAAAGGAATGTGGAAAAATTTAAAAACGCTACTTCCAAAAAAAAAAAAATTCTTCCCGATAAGTTGCAGTTTGGCTGGCGAACTGTTTCATTAAAGCAAGTTATAACCAATGAATTTAATAGGTATTTTTTAGACAGTGTTAAAAATATTTTGAGTGGCATTCCGCCATCCAAGGGTGTGAATGATATCACTGATAATATACAAACTTATGGAGAAATAGATCAGTTTAATACCATAACTGCCCTTGCTCATGGATACATACATGAGCATTAACCCGGCCTGAGGAAAACCAGAGCTGTCTTCTTTAAATTCACTCAGGCAACTCTCAGCAGGCGCGTCCACGTCGCGGGGGTGGGCCCGACACGCGTATGAGTCGGTGGCTAAGTTCTGCTGGGGACCCAGTATAGCGGGGTATAACGCTGTCCCCTTGCCCGGGGATACGGGCGAAGACCACACCGGCGGTGAAGGCGGAGAAGAAAGGTGGATCCGGCGTAGGTGGCAACCCAGCCCTCAGGGGATAGAATGAAGGCAGACTGGAGTTGGGCAGCAGCAACTCCAACACCAGGTTAAAGCGGGGAAGAGATACTTCGGTAC